CATCCTACTTTGGCTCAGGTCATAATCTCCCGGTTCATGAGTTCGAGCCCCGCATCGGGCTCTGTGCTGACAGCTCAGAGCCTGGAGCCTGCTTCAGATTCTGTGTCCCCCTTCAGATTCTGGGTCCACCCCACCCCTGCTTGTGCTCTGTCTCTTTCAAAAATGAATAAACATTAAAAAAAATTAAAAAAAAAAAGGAACAAAGACATTTAGTACCTTTATGGCAAATGGTATCTGCACAACCATGTTCTCAGTTTTTTTTTTAATAGGTTTTGTTTTGTTTTGTTTTTAACTTTTACTTATTCTTGGAGGCGGAGGAGCAGACAGAGGGAGACAGAGAATCCCAAGCAAGCTTCGTGTTGTTAGCGCAGAGCTCTGGGGTTCCAACTCACAAACCATGAGATCACGACCTGAGCTGAAACCAAGAGTCCAATGCTTAACCAACAGAGCCACCCAGGTGCCCCTATAGTGTCAGTTCTTAAAAGGTAAAGCTATGGTTCGTTCATTCATCCCCTATACCAGATAGAGAACCTGGCACAGACTCCTAATATATAAACTAAATAAATTCAGCTCAAACATACTTGCTTTACTTTTTGATCTTGTAAAACTTTTAGTCAGGAACTATTAGTCCAGAATTCAACAGACTCATACAATTTAAATGAAAAATCCACTAAGAATACTTATACTGGCTTATTTCCTTTCTTCGGGTTCTGAAGCTCAATATCAGTCATTTCAATTATATTCTTATGAGACAGACCCTCAATTTCTTCATTTCCTTGCCACTTTAGGCTTGTCTTCCCCTAACCTTGATCAACCCTTATTCTTCTCTCCTCCACTCAGGCTGCCAAGTTTCACAGCTTAAGGACAGTTTCCACAGAAATTAAGGTATACAACATGTCTGGCCTATGGTGCTGATTCTGCAATTCTTTTACTTATCTGTATACTCAGGCCTTTATGAAATTCATCTTTATGTAATATCACAGGGACTTTTCTAAAATGCAAACTTAACCAGGTTATACAATCTCTGCTTAAAACCCTCTAATGGTTTCCAATTGTTCTCAGTACAGAGTTCCAAAATCTTCAATATAACCTATAAAGTCCTAAATCTTTTGGCCTCTACCTACTGCTTTGGCCTCAAGGCACACCATTTTCCTCCTTGCTGTGTTCTGGCGACACGGTCTTCTTTTCAGTTCCTAGATTATAACCTCCCTCTGTCCCCTCCCCTCATCACCCCCCCATCACCACTCTTGCAAATGCCGTTCCCTCTTGTTAGAACATTCTTCCCTCCCTTCTTGGTCAAGTTAACACCTGCTTGACCATCTCTCAACCATCATGGTTGACATCAAACATCCTCTAGCCCCTCCCTAGTCTGTCAGGTTACTTAGTTATGTACTCTCAGTGAATAGTATTCCTTCCCTTTAAATCACCCTGTCTCTCCTACTAAATTATAAGCTCCATAAGAGCAGGAAAAGTACCTTTTGCTTTCTATTTGTACCTCTGATACCCAGCCCAGTGCCAGGCACTTAGTAGATACTTAACAATTATTTTTTAAATGAATGCATTTGTTAAATGCTCCATCTGACATTTCCCACACTGTTATATCCAAGTTTTACCAATCTCCTCATGTTTCTTCCTGTACTCTTCCTAGTAGAGACTGGCTCCAGGCAAGAGCAAAGTGCCCACTGTCATAACTGGTTCCAATGATGGGCAAGAGCCCACAGTGAGCCACAATGATCCTAAGAAAGGATCATTCTAATTCCTTTCATTTATTCTATAAATTTTTATTGGGCATAGTGTATGTGCTAGACACTGTTTTAAATGCTAACATGGTAGTAAACAGGGACAGATAAACTCTCTGATTGCTATGGACTAAATTGTGCCCTCTCCCCCAAATTCATACTGAAGCCCTAATCCCCAATATGATAGTATTAGAGAGAGCCTTTAAGGGGGGTGATCAGAGTGAAATGAGGTCATAAGGGTAGAGTGCTAAACTGATAGAACTGGTGCCCTTACAAGAAGAGAGAGAGAGCTATAGAGCTCTCTCCCTACCATGTGAAGACACAGTGAGGACACAGTAAGAAGGACACAGTGAGAAGGCAGCTATCTGTGAGCCAAGAAAAGAACTCTCACCAAAACTAGACCTGGCACCCTGATTTCAGACTCCAACCTGTGAGCACTGTAAGAAAATAAATTTCTGTTGTTTAAGCCATCTAGTCTAGGGGCTTTTGTTATGGCAGCCCAAGCAGACTAATAAAGGTCTAATAATGCCTGCGTTCTAGAGCTGAAGTTAGGATGTACTAGGACGTAGCTGCAGTAGGACGTAGGTAAGACAACAGAAAGCAGGAACAGATACTACCAAGTAAGGGTTCACACTCATGCCTGTACGGACAGAGGAAACCTCTTAACTGGAGGTATCTGGAGATCTAGCCTATCTTCCTATCTTATCAATAGGACTTTCAAAGTGTGCTTCTATTAAGCACACTTTCAATCTGGACTTCCATCCCATAATCATATTCTTTACATGGATGATCTGTAAGAAAACTTGGTGGCAAACTGAAAAATCCACCTTAAAAAACACAGAGGGTGCCTGGGTGGCTCAGTTACTTAAGCATCCAACTTTGGCTCAGTTCATGAACTAGCAGTTTATGAGTTCCAGCCCCACATCAGACTCCATGTTGACAGCTCAGAGCCTGAAGCCTGCTTTAGATTCTGTGTCTCCCTCTCTCTCTGCCCCTCCCCCACTCGCACTCTGTCTCTCTCTCTCTCTCTCTCTCTCAAAAATAAGTAAACATTAAAAAAAATTAAAAGAAACACACAAAATAGAAAGTGTTACTATAATTTAAAAAACTCTGATTTGCATGACTCTCAAGGGAGGACCATCAGTATTTCTTCTGATATAAGTATGCATGTACAATGTTTATATCCATAAAATGTTTCATATCCATAAAATCTGATTACAGTAATTTTTGTACAAAACTTGAGAGTTAGACTGGCAAACCCCTCTCATTTCACACTGGAGTAAAGTGAAGACCAGGCGTTTTGGTTCTTGTCCAAAACCTCCCAACTCCCATCCCAGATCACTGTATAAGAAAAAAATCAACTACATCATTTGCAGGGCCTAGTGCAAAATGAAAATAACAAGGCCCTCTTACTGAAAAATCATTAAGAATTTCAAGGTGGTGACAAAGAACATTAAACCAAGTGCCAGCCCTTCTAAACAACGGGTCATATGTGACTACATAGGTTGTATTAACAACCTAGAGATATATCCATAACCACCCTTTTAAGAAATATGTTTTTTTTTAACAATCCAACACATGGTATAGATGGATCCTGGCTCATGAACGTAGATGACTAGGAATAAGGTGAAGAGCAAAGAGAACTAAACCTGGAGTCAGGGGACCTCCAGCCACGCATTGGCTAAACACTAACAAGTCTGTTAATACACCAAGACTGTAAGAGATAGAACACACCCTACCTTCATGTCACAAAGTTGTGACAAACTGAGTTCTTCATATCACACAGCTGTTAGTATCACTATGATTTTCTTCCACAACCCTGAAGTTAATGTTTTCAAGTGTTGGAAACACTGAAAAGTGGGAGTGGAAGGGGTGAAATCTGCAATAATTACAGCTTATGTTAACATCTTCACCTTCAAGTTTTACAAGCGTTCACTTCCCCTCAATGGTTTTGAGCACAGGAAAGCCATGCTGATCCTGTATTCTTCACCATAACATCTGTAAACAGCACTATCCGACAGAAATACAGTGTTAGCCACAGGATTTAAGTTTCTAGTAGCCACACTGAAAAAGTATAAAGAGATGAAATTAATATATTTTATTCTCCCCAACATATAAAAAAAAAAATCCCTTTCCAACATGCAATCAAACTAAAAAACTATTCAATTTTTTTTTGTCTGTTTGGGAGGTGGGTGTCAAGTCCTGTAAATCCAATGGGTATTTTATCTTACACTCAGAGCACATCTCAACTCTGTGTGGCTACTGGACAGTGAAGATCCACAATACTAAGTGTACAAAGTATCCAACTACCCTCTCACATCCTTTCGTTGTCTTCTACTCTTCTTACCGTAACAAATAACAACAGCAGCAGTTTCAGGAAGTTTCACCCTCACCATCTTCAAGGAGATGCACTACACAAATTTCCCTTAAAATATAGTTATACAAAGGGCCTGTAATGCAGGCATCTGCAAATCATTTTAGCACTGCTCGTGGCACACGTGAAAGGCTTTATTCATCCTCTTACGGAATTTTCACTACTCATACAAGCACAGAACACAGCTAACCAACCGGGTGACAGGCCCTTTAGGAAGTATTTAATAAAGTACAACCAAAGCGAGGCTCTTGCTATTCCGGGTAAATCAGGAATCTGAGGGCCACTCCCACGCTCTAGACACCTGGCTGAGCCGCCCGTCCAACGCGAGGACGCGGTTCCGCAAGAACTCGCCGCGCTGCGCGCGGCCCCAGCGTCCCCGACGAGGTCCGAGCGCGCCCCGAGGCCTCCTGCAGCTCCGAGGCTCCCAGCTAGGCCCTGCCGGCCGCCCGGCGCGGTTATCCCGCAGCGCGGAACGCAACGCCCTGCGCCTCGGCTCCGAGATGGCCCCCGGGTGCGCCCCCGCCCGGGCCTTTCAACCGGGCTTTCCCGGGCCCCTCGCGGCGGCCCCGGCACTCCCGAGCCCACTACCCGGGCCTCCGTCGGAGGTGCTGAGACGCGCGGCCCGAGCCGCGCTCACTGACCTGATGAGGCAGCGCGGCCACCGCACAGCCACTTCCGGCTTGGTCACCGCCCCTCCCGCCGCGGGAGTCCGGGCGCGGGCAAGATGGCGGCCGCGGCGGCGCGGTCAGTAACCTAGGCCACCCGGCTGGGACCCACGACCCCACCACCGCGCCCCCGGCACACGCGGACGTGCTTCGGCCTCGGAAGGATAGTTCCCCGCCCGTGAGCCCCGCCCTTCGTCGCCCAGGAATAGCCCCGCCTTGGGGCGGGGCCACTGCCCAGGAGGCCCCGCCTTCCGCTCGAGCGCTCCCATGCGCCCCCGGAGGCGCCGCCCCTGCGGCCTGCGAGAGGTAAAGCGGGCAAGCTTACCTGGACCGACTCTTGGAGAGGAAATTTCCCAAGTACTACACACACTTTAGTTCATTTGATCAGTTAAATTTACATTAACAATTTATGCAGGCCATACATGTAGTGGAAACTCCAGGGTGTTTGGTTCAAGATTTATTCATTAATTTACTCATTCTACAAACACCTCTTGAGTGACCTTGTGTACCTAGCACCGTCCTGGAATGCTCGGGAACTGAAGTGAACAAAAAAGAAGTGGTCCTGGAAGAAATCAGGGATGCCTTGTAAGGCTAATACGTGCTCCATCGAAGGGGGGCCTCCTTAGTGTAGGGAGGTCAGGAAGGCTTCCTTGAGGACCCCTAGGGTGAGACTGGGGGAATTAGATGGGGAAGGGAACGGAGAGGAGGGGGTTGGAAGAGAAGAGCCTTTTCGGGCAGAGGAAGAGTGAAAGTTGAGGAGGGATGGCATCTCAATGGGGAAGCAGTCAAGTATGGATGGATGAGCAGAGGAAGTGGGGAGAGATTAAGATGCTGTATCAGAAAGGCATTTGGAAACCACGGTAGTGGGTTTGTCCTAAAGACAATGATGCAGTATTGAATGTTTTTAACTAGGCAAGTGGTATGATGGTTTTTCCAGGAGAAAGGAAAGGATAGGGTAAGTATCCCCACGAGAGATTATGGTAATCCATACTACCAGTGATATGGAGAGCGGGAATGGAGAGAAGTGTGGGGAATATTTAGAAGATGGAATGAACAGAGCTTGAGGGTTGACTAAGATGAGTGAGGGACAGAGAGGGTTCTAGGTTTCTGGTTCCCATAACTGAGTGAATGGTGCAGCCACAAGTGTCACAAATCTGACACAGGCTTCCTTGAGATATCTGGCAACCATGCTTAAAAATGGGCGGTTTGGGGCTTGTAGTGATTGGCACAGATAGCAAAATGAGCTTAATCCCCATGATCTTCAAGGCAGATCGTTTTGGCAAGAGGATGAGTTTGGGAGGAGCATTGCCTGAAGTGGTCTCAGGCTCCTTTTCATTCCTGCTGTTGGAGAAGTGGAGGCTGGAGAAAGTACTGTACTGCTGTGGGGAGATACCACAAGATTCATCACCTCAAACACTACCTTGCCAATCTTCTCAATGGTTTAGGCCCTGGACCCAAAACACCAGATCAATACAAGTCTCTTCCTTATCCACTCCTACCATATTCATAGCCAAGGAAAACATCTCCCCTCATGGTCAGGAGATGATGTTGCTTCCTACTTCAGAAAGAGAATTTAAGGTATTTGGTAGGAATTTCCCACAGCCTTCTACTATTTTCTCTCTCCTTCCCCCAACATCATCATTCACTCCCATTCTTTCCTTCTTCTAGTTGACACAAAGGAAGAGGAGGGACTAGATGTTTCTCCTCTTCTGGGACAATTTTCTTCTTTTCTGTGTGTCCCTATTTCTACTGTTTGTTGTTGTTGTTGTTGTTGTTGTTGTTGTTGTTTTTACTTTCGACATGTGTTCAAGTCACTCCCATTTTTCTCCTCAAAGGAGAAGGCCATACTGGCTCTCTCTAATCCTATATTTTCCTGTTTTCCCCTGAATTCACTCCTCTCAGGCCTTCATGTCACCACACCACCAAAACTGCTCATTATTTGCCTATAGTTCTCTTCTGCTTCCAGAATATATGCTCGACATCACCAGTTTTCATTCTGTTATACCTCCCCGCCCCCCCCCCCCGCCAAATGTTAGCAAGGCACTCGGTGACCCAATTAAAGAGAAGAATTCCTTGTCTTCCCTTTCAGCTAAGTATGGTTATATCAAAAATTGTGGGGGCACCTGGGTGGCTCAGTTGGTTGGTCCTCCAGCTTCAGCTCAGGTCATGATCTCATGTGCTGACAGCTTGGAGCCTGGAGCGTGCTTCGGATTCTGTGTCCCTCTCTCCCCCTCACACTCTGTCTCTCTCAAAAATGAATAATAAACACTAAAAAAAAAATTTGTGACCAAAGCGATGGAAGTAGAAATAGATTATGTCCCTTAAAAGAGAAGCTGCTTGACATCTACATTCCTTTTCTCCCTTCCAGCTGTCTGGAAAATAGGAAAAAATAAACATGCTATAGAAATGGAGGCCATGTATTAAGGAAGACAAAACTGTCCCCTTCCTCTAGGTCCCAGCCTAACTCGGAAAGCAGAGGTACCCCCTCCCTTGGATCAACCATAGATTTCTGGACCATTACACAAGAGAAAATAAACTGTGTTCTCTTAAAAATTACTGTTTGTTTAGACCTGTTTTGTTATAGTGGCTCAGCCTATTTCCTGATACCCAGGGACACTATCTATTTTATTTTCTACTTAATCTCTAGAGCCTAAAACATAGGGTATGTGCTCAATAAAAATTTGTTGAATACATCCTAAAACAATACCTTTCTCTACACTGTCCTCCAGCTAATATATTTTTCTCTCCTTCCTTTTCCATCTAAGCCTTTGTGAAAGTGTGTTGCCACCAGTTTCTTGCACTCTAAAATCCCAATAGGAATAAGTGACACTTTTCGCATTCTACTTGGAAGTCAATTCTCCTTTTTCACCAAACGGTGTTCCTTGTTAGTAAAACTGGACTGGGTCCCTTGGAAGAGAAGCTTCTTGCCATTCACTTCCTCTTCTCCCTTCCTGCCATCTGGAAAATGGCAGATGGCATTTCCTTGTGAGTAGCGTAGAACTTTGGATTTCCTATAGCTCCTGCTATATAATATGCATTCAAAAATATTTACTGAGTGGGAGAGTGCATTGTATTTTTTGAAGATTATAATGTGTCAGAGAACTTAACAGACTGCTCTGAGGTTACACTAGTCGTTTCTATCAAATGTGCATTTTGTAATGGATGCCAGAGTTGCTATAGTTCAGTCTCATGGTTTTTTGTTTTCTTTTTTAATTTGAACTTCTGTGCCATTAACAAGATACCCTTCTAAGTTCCTTTACATATGGTGTGGCGATCCAGGATAGGATTTGTGTGTTGTGGTTTTAAACCAACAAAGGACAACAGCTGAAGAACTGCTGATTTCCTTCTTTAAAAAAAAATTTTTTTTAATATTTATTTATTTTTGAGAGAGAGAGAGAGAGAGAGAGAGAGACGGGAATGAATGGGGGAGGGGCAGAGAGAGAAGGAGACACAGAATCTGAAGCAGGCTCCAGGCTCTGAGCTGTCAGGACAGAGCTCAATGTGGGGCTTGAACTCATGGACTGTGAGATCAAGACCTGAGCCGAAGTTGGAGGCTTAACCGAGTGAGCCACCCAGGTGCCTCAGATTTCCTTCTTATTTACGGCTGCCCTTAGAAGGAATTCAGTTACTATTGGAACATGCTGTGGAGTCTGTGACTGGCTAATCCCAGCTCCCTTTATTTGCACATGCACAAAATCAGTCTGTACCTGGGAGGACCTCAAGCAGGCTGTGTGCTGTCAGCACCCAGCCACCTCCATCTCTTGAACTGTGAGATCATGACTTGAGCCTTGATCAAGAGCCGGAGGCTCAACCGACAAACCCACCCAGGTGTCCCAATGTGAGAGATCTTAAACTAGTGGTCTTCAAAAAGTATTCAAGTATACTCCCAAATCAGTGTGTAAATCAGTATACTTATTTGTATATTTTGGGGGGTTATATCTAACAATGTCATAATAAACTTACATAGCTTCAAGGATATGATTTATAGTACATTTTTAATACTTAAATTATAAATAAAATTGTTACACCACACTTTAAATGTATTTGATGAAATTTAAATATGTTAGAGTTTCTTACAATCATTCATTTAAAATTTTTGTGACTAAGCTATTCTTTAATTGTGGGAAACTTTATATTATTCTATTTTTTACTTCTTGATCTTGTACTTCCCTTTTACTTTCTTCCAGAATTCTTTGATAACAAACAGCTATATGGCATATACCACGTGCCAGATGCTCTACAACACAAGGCTCATTTACCACTGTCTTGGGTTAGATGCTCTGGAACCATATTTCAAGATGGAGTAGGATGTAGGATACTTGTGAAGAAGTGTTGGGATCAGCACCCATGGAAGGAAGAAAGAAGATGCAGGACTGGGCAGAGGGAAAAGCTGAGCTGTGATCCAATACCAACAAAAGCCTCAGGCAATCCATGAGAAACTTTGAAACTGGATTGGCCCTCAGGAGTTGTCTTGAATTGGGACAAGGGACTCAGGACTTTATACCACCTCACTGATGTGGATATGTCATTGATGTGACCTGTCCCTTGAAGGAAGTGTGGCTTTGAATGAGGCAATTTTCTCCAGCAAACAGTCCCCAAACACAGCTGGCTGCTGAAGGACATCTCCTGGCAACTCTCCCAGCAGCCCAAGGACTAAGTCATTTATTACTGAAGGAGGACATCTAGGAGGTGCACCATGGACTCTATCACATCGTCCTCATAACGAGGATGATACTGTTATTTTTTCCCTGTTAAAAATGAGACAATGGAGGCATGGAAATGTTAAATAAGTTGCCCTAAGATATCTCTTAAGTGGTGGAGTCCTCGAGGATATGAACCCGGACAACATGGCCCCAGCATTGTGCTTCTAACTATTGGCCCAAGCACTTATCAAATGGAAAAGCCACTTAACCTAATTCTAAGTGTTATTAAAATAATCTTTGAAAACAGGACTTGGCAATTTTTTTTTTTTTTTTTTTTTTTTTTGTAAAGGGCAAGACAATAAATATTTTCAGCTTTTTAGGTTACTCTGTCTCTATCACAACTACTCCATTCTGTCACTGCAGGGCAAAAATAGCTGTGATAGTACATAAACAAAGGGGTGTGGCTATGTTACAAGAAAACATTATTTATAGAAACAGGTGGCAGTTTGGATTAGTCTGTTAAACCCTGTTTTAGAAAAACATTAAAGACAGAGGAAACACTCACGGGGTACTATTATAGGAATAAAATAGTACCGAATGGAGTAAACATAATAATTCTAACCTTATTTTTTGAAGGCTGGAAGGAATTATGCCAACATTTCATTGGTAGATTTCTCTGTGTGATAGGCTTAAAAGTGATCATTATTTTCTTTATTATATACTTTTCTATGTTTTCTGAAATAAAAATGTAAAGATTTTTTAATGAGAAAAACACCCAATGAATATTATTTTAAAGAGTGTAGTTGGAGGAATTAGGATGCTAAATTCCATAATGATAGGCAGATACATCATAATCCTGTACCCATGGGATTAAGGCAGAAATAATAAAGTTTAAGCAGCATACTATATGCTTCAGGAACTGAAGCCATTCTAGGACATTTACTGCAACATGAGTGGTGCTAACATTTCCTGCTTGGCTAACTGATTCTTCACAGGGTCTCTGTTTCATTTGTGGGTAACTTGGTATTAAGGAATGAATGTGTGTGTCCCCCCTAAAGTCGATATAGTGGAATCCTAACACCTATGTGGTGACAATAGGAGATGGGGCCTTTGTGAGATAAGGTCATGAGAGCGGAGCCCTCACGAATGGAAGTAATGCCCTTACAAAAGGGACCCCAGAGAGCTCTCACACTCCTTTTCTGCCATGTGTGGACACAATGAAGTCAGCACTCTGAAATCTAGAAGAGGGTCCTCATCAGAACCTGACCACACTGGTACTCTGATCTCAGACTTCCAGCCTCCCGAACTGTGAGAAATACATTTCTGTTGTTTGTAAGCCATGCAACCTATGGTAATTTGTTACAGGAGACAGAACTAAGAAACTTGGCTTGTCCATTCTGATGAGCACGGAAGCATGAAAGCAGTAGCCAGCAAAATACTATCAGAGCAGCGCTGTTAATTCTAGTGAAACACAGGCCACCTCACTGCCTGGTCTCTTCCCCTCCTTGGATGGGATTTGAGAAAATCACATTTGGGCTTTTGAAACAGATGATTAGGCTAAATTCTGCTCGTCTCTCTGCTCCCACAGCCATTGCCCTAGTTTTGGTCTTAATTACTGCTCACCCAGACAGTAGTCTCCCAACTGGCCTCTGTCCCTACCTTTTTCCTTTAAACCCTGTCCTCTGTGTAGCTAGATTGATCTTCTTGAAGCACATCTCAAGTGACTCTCTTATGTGGAACTCTTCATTGGTTCATGTTCCCTGCAGACCAACATCCAAACTCCTCAGCCCACAGTTAAGACGTCAATACTGTAAGTCTTAACTGTCGATGAGAAAGAACATTTGTGTTTTCAATAGATCAAATTAATTTTAGAATTACCTAAACCAGACAAAGCCCAAAGCAGTCATAAAGGCACACTTCTCTTGGTAGTAAGATGAGAAAAAGATTCCCAGAACCATCACTGAAAGTTAGACATATATCTAATTATGAAGATGATGCATTCGGAACCAGTGTAATTTTGAGCAAAAGACCAGGTCACAGAAAAACCAAAGCATATCTGATAGGTCTAAGCCAATAATTTGGAATGTTTCTGATGTAATGTATGATGAGTGACTATAAAACATTTAAGTGGATGATTAATTTGATTCTCATGTTCAAAATCTTGGACCATCAGCAGCTTATTTGAGAAGCTAAGCCTGACTTTCTTATTAAGTATAATTGCAACCCCAGGAAGAAATGCAAGAGGTAGGAAACCAAAAGCAGAAAGAGAATCAGAATTAGAATCAGGATAGAAATGATGAAAAAATCTACTTCCTAAGGTCTAACCCTTTTGTAACTTTTGTTATCAGTCAGTTTTATAGTCATTGAAGAGTGGGGCGTATTTTTTCTTCTTGTGAAAAACATTAAAGAAATATCTGCTACTGTATACTTGAGAAGAAGTATTCAGTTTGCAATGTTTACGAGTTTGAGGAAATCTAGCTTATTAAATTCATGTATTTTCAATATGTTAGTTGTATAAATGAAGTAAAATATGTACTAATGATTTAAAGGTTAACAAATTACATATAATAGTGGATACTCCTCTCCATGTAACATGCATGAAAGCTTCTGGGATATTAAAAGGAATGTTATCAACCATGAAGTTGTCCCCATTCTGGCCCAATATGTTTTTCCCATTTGATCTCTTAGAGCTAGTAGCTCTAGCCCTACTGAATTGTGCCTAATTATTTTTATATAGCACTTTTCCTGTAACATGCCTGCTAGCGTAAGCAGTTAGATACACATGAGCAGAAGGGGAGAAAGGAAGATAACAGAGGGACAAATGCCAGGGACTACCCCATCTCTGCCAAGAGGCTGCCCCAGTTCCCTTAGACCAACCCCTTTTTTGGCCTAGCACAGACTGATAAGCAGAAGATACTGGGTACAGGGACTTCCCCAACTTCGGAGCATGCACACTTATGAAAGACCATGTGCACTAGTAATTCTGAGGCTGTAATGATATCATTATAATACCATGTGCAATGCGGTTTGGGCCCCCAACATGGGTTACGCCTACACTCATGGGAAGATGACTAACACAGACTTACCAGAAAGGTTGGAGGGGAGGAAACCAAGGCAGACCCAAGATGGAGTGATAATAATAAGATGAGAGGAAGGAGACCAAATAAACCCCATAAAAGAACACAATGAGAAACTCAGCATGCTGCACCCCTACCTTTGGGTCAGTCCTCTCCTCTGTCTTTGGAGTGTACTTCTGCTACATAGAAGACCTTTGCTACTTTAACTCTCTATCTCTCTATCGGGTCTCTCAACCGAATTCTTTTCTTTGAGAAGACAAGAACTGAGGAATTCCACAATCCACCGCCCAGGAATACACCTTTGTTCCTTTTTTTTTTCTGGAATGTCCTTCTCCAAGAATTAGAAAAATTAAATTCTATTCATCCCACAAAATATATCACTCAGTTCCTCTTTGAAGTCTCCTATAGCTGGAAGTAATGTCTATCTTCCCAAACTCCTTAGCACCTTGCCTACTGTGCCTAGGTTAGATCCTTTGACTCTTCACACACACACACACACACACACACACACACACACACACAATTATATACTGTAATAATGCTATTACCTATTATATTGCAATATATTTATATAGTTTATGAATTCCTTGAGGGTGGGATACGTTACAGTCATCATTGTTCCCCTCATTATTTATTAAATCATGATGAAAGAAATGCATAATGAAAAGTTACACAACTATATGAATGCTTCCATTCCAACTCAAAAATTTAAAAATATTATTGTGAAAACAGTATTGAAGGAAATGTCTTGAAATTCATATATTCCCACCATGCACAACTGTTTTCATTTCTCTGTTTCTGTTTCAGGATTTATCCATGCTCATACAACATGTTTGTTTGAGTAATAAGATGTTAAAAATAAATTTGTCATTTCTAGTAACTAGCTAAAGCCCCGCTAGACTGGGACAGAATAATAGGTGATGGTTACTCCCACATTCCAAAGTGAGATGCTACCACCGTGCAGGGCTAGAATAGATTTTGTAGACTAAAGACCCCAAACCCTCCTGAAAGGGGCTTGAAACTGAAGAATCTGAGAGAGATTTCTTTGAAGAAATTCATGTCCAGAAAATCTTACTCCTAATTCCCTAGGAGAGATCTGAGAGTGCTGTTGTCCATGGAGGGCTTGATCTGTGCAAGCTGGAACAGAGACACAGGTAGAGAACATGATGGTCTGTTGTCTGAGCCATGCCTGAAAACTCCAAAGGCCAGCTTGGTTGTTCTGAAGGTTGGAAAGAACTTTCATTCCTGGAGTTTGTCAGGATAAACGATGCCTGAGTGTACCCTGTGGACAGGATGAGGGCCACAAGGGCAAGAGAGGCAGCATAACCCAGTCGATAAGAGGGCTTTCTGGTGGGAGTAAGGTGACCTCAGCTGAGAGACACTGGAGGTGTTCTTTTGGGAATAGGCTGGGTGAGAGGAGGGGGAGTTCAACCCCCACCCCCACCCCACCCCCACAGAAGAGACCTAGCTGGCTTTAAAAGAACTTGGGATGAGAGATCCCCAGTGACGCAGTCTCCCAAAGAATGAGGGAGAACTCCACAGTGGAGAAAGAGATCACTTTAATACCTTCCAAAACCACCGCAAGGCAGTGAAGTAGTTCTTTCCTGCTGGTCTACCTGTTCTTCGTGAGTGTGTGAAAGACAGACAGACACAAAGTGGGGAAGTGGGAGAGTTGACTATGCCCCTTTTCCTATTGCAGGCTTCCAGCTTGAAGTGAATCCCAGCTGAGGAGAGGAGAATCTTCAAGCTCAGAGTTTGGACTACTATATGGGAATAGATATTTTGATTATGGAAAGAAGATAGTGCTTATAATTAAATGTGAAAGAAATGATTTTTATATAAAAGACTCACCCAAAGACTTAGGGCACCAACCTGTGATCCAAGTGGCAAAAACGGAAAAAAATATATATATATCATATATATATATATATAGAGAGAGATATATAGATATAGATATATATAGATATATATAGATATGATATATATCCTGGCCTCAAAAATAGAAACAAAAGGACGGTGGGAAGTAAAATAAAGTTATTCTATAATGCATCCTATGGAGTCCTGCATATTCAACAGATTGGTGATACTCAAATGGAATCAAATGAGCAAAAAAACAGTATGCATCCAAAATTTCAAGTTTTTAATAAGTTAATACAAATGATAAGATATAATAGGGGCACCCGGGTGGCTCAGTCGGTTGAGCATCTGACTCATGACTTTGGCTCAGGTC